TTCCGAAGCATCTCCAGTCCCACATGGCAGTACCGAAGCATCTCCAGTCCCACATGGCAGTTCCGAAGCATCTCCAGTCCCACATGGCAGTTCCGAAGCATCTCCAGTCCCACATGGCAGTTCCGAAGCATCTCCAGTCCCACCTAGCAGTTCCGAAGCATCTCCAGTTACACGTGGTGGTCCCGTGGAAGAACTTGGCATTGCGGAGGAAGAGGTCGACGACGATTGGCTGGAGACGTATGAGGAAGAGGAAACAGAAGAGGGGGCTGCGGAAGGAAAGGACATCGAAGCCGAGGAGGAGGAGTGGAAGAAGATGTTCGAGGACCTGAAGAAGCCGATGGAGTTCCAGGTATTGCGGTTCGTGATCCCATTGGAAAAGCATCGTGGGCGGGAGGTGTTGGAGGCCGTCCAGGAGATCTATGTCACGCTGAAGTCGTGGGGCATGCCTTTATCGAGAATCCACTCTGACCGCGCTAAGGAGTTTCGCACCAAGCCTTTGCGGAAGTGGTGTCGGGAAAGAGATGTGTATCAGACATATACTGAAGGCCTGGCACCTACACAGAATGCGGTGGCCGAGAACGGGGTCAAGTGGGTAAAATCCCGAGCACGTCTCCTTCTACAAGCTGGTGGTGTGGAAAAGAAGTATTGGCCGTGTGCGATGAAGGAGGCGTGTGATGCCCACAACCGCAGGATGCTCGCGAGGCCTGGCAAGGGAGTTCGTTTTGGAGCCGTTGTGTGGATCAAGACGAAGAAAGGCCGTGGTCCCTTCGACCCAAAATGGGAAAGAGGCACATACATGGGTCCAACGGAGGATGTTCGTGGAGGACACGTGGTGCTTCTTGAAGATGGGACATGGTTGAGGACTCTTCATGTACGGCTTGTTCGAGACGATGAGTATGTGGAAGTAAAGGAGCCGGAGTATGAGGCCGATTGGGTGAAACCATCGCAGAGGCTTCGGGAAAAGACAACCGTGAGGGACCCAGGGCTGAAGATGATGAGCGCCTACAAGGATGAGCCAAGAAACAAGCTGGTGGAAAAGTTGCTGGTGGCGGATATCTGGGAAAGCAAGGAAGCTGCAGCCAAGCGGCCGCAGCTGCGAGAAGTCCCTGGCCCAGTGGAGGACCGAGCTTATCTGACATTGGGAGCGTACCAGCATGGCGGAATTGTGAGCATCACCAAGGCGACCGAAAAGCATGAAGAGGTGGTGCGATTGGCTTCAGCGCTACTTCGCCACGACTTCCCGAACAAGGACTTCACATCAATAGCTCTGGTAAAGAACGCCGTGATGCCAATCCACCGAGATAGCTACAACAAGAAGGAGTCGAGCAATTTGGTCTCTCCTTTGAAGGTGACGAGAGGCAGTGGAATATGGCAGGAGATGAAGATTGGTGATGAGTTCAAGGGAAGGTACGAGCCACGATGGTTCAATGGGAAAGAAGTACTTGGGCAGGTGGTGGAGCTTTCGCGGCCACAAGAGGTGAACCCTTCACGACTACATGAACCAGTGCTTGGGGAGGATGGTCCAAGGGTGTTGGTCGTGGGCTTCACGATTGCTGCAGCGCACAAGTTGGAGCATGAGAAGGTGAAGTATTTGCAAGAGCTTGGTTGTTGGCCCGTTACCCCTCCGAAGGAAGAAGAGGAAGTGGACCGTCGTCATGATGAACCTGGAAAGGGCCTTGGAGGTGAGCGAGAAGATGAACTCGTTGTTCCTGGGGGCCGGATCAGTTTGAAGACGAAATGGTCGATGAGCTACAAGCCAGAGGAGGAGAAGGGCGGTGAGAAGGAATTGGACCCGGTGCCAGCCATGCCGCTTGAAGGGGAAGAACGGAGGTGGTTGGAGGATAGAGCTATGGCATTGAGGGCGTTGATCGTGGATGAAGAAAGGTGTGCGGATCTACGTGAAGAAGAGGGTGGTGGAGCAGATGAGTCGATGAACGAGAAGATTATCGACGCAGAGGAGGAGTTAGACTTTGTTCAAGAGCTTCTCTCGGAGGACTCGACGGAGCGGCAGGAGCAATCGATCAAGGCGGCGACTCACCAGAGGATCCGGCTCGCGAAGTTGGCCGCGGATGTAACCACGGAAAATGTGGAGGGCATCTTGAAGGAGCTGAAGGAGCCACTCACGGTTACGCACACAGTTTCTCTTCCGGAAGTCAAGGCCCATCTACCGGAATGGATACCAAGCATGGCAAAGGAGGTAAATCATCTGGAAGGCAATGGAACGTTGGTGCCCATTCCACTCGCAGAGGCGAAACGACTACAAGAACGAGGAGAAGTCACGCTGGTGCCGGCCAAGACTGTACACACGGTGAAACCACCTGATGTTGCCGCGGTCAAGGACAAGAAAGAGAACGAAGATGAGAAGGAAGAGGAGCCCTCAAAGAAAAGGGAACATGCCACCGACATCGTGGACGACAACAAAGTCAACCTCTTCAAGCGGAAAACAAGATTGGTTATCTGCGGGAACTACATCAAGGGTGAGACAGAGGTGTTCACAACGGCGGCCAGCGCGGAGAGTGTGCGGTGTGGGGTGGCTTTTGCCGCTCAGAGAAACTGGGAAGCGGCCATCACGGACATCAATTCGGCGTTCACGCTCACCCCGATGTCGGAGTCCAGTGTGAAGTATGCGGTCACAGTTCCCAAGGTGATCGTAGATGCTGGATGCGCACCTCCAAACACTGCATACCGGGTGGAGAGGCTTTTGTATGGGTTGAAGGAGGCGCCGCGCTTATGGGGAAACTTTCGGGATCGCAGGATCAGAAGGGCCAGAATCCGCGCTGGGCACAAGGAGTGCAAGTTCGTGCAAATGGAGACGGACCCGGCAGTGTGGAGGCTAGTTCCTCTAAGCGATGAGGAGGAGACCATTGCGATGATGATTGTGTACGTCGACGATGTGCTGTTCTTGGGAGGAGGAGAGGAGATCAAGAACATGTACGCGTGGTTGACAAAGGGAGGTGACGGTGATGAAGGCTGGAAGTGCTCGGAGCTGGAATGGGTCGGGCAAAGACCTGTGCGATACCTTGGTATGGAGGTGCAGAGCCGAGTGTGCGATGGGAAAAGACAATACCACATCAGCCAAGGAGGATACATCACCGACCTCATTCGGGAGTATGGCATGGAAGCTGAGAACCCAGCTACGGTGCCCGCGACGAAGGACCTCATTCCACACTGGGAAGACGGCGACGAGGAGGAAGGTGAAGCAGGGGAAGAACAAGTCCGGGCCGCTCAGGCAGCCGCCGGAGAGCTGCTATGGCTAGCAACGCGGACTAGGCCGGACATAAGCTTCACGACGAGCTATGTGTGCAGCATGGCAACGAGGAATCCGCTGGCTGCTACCCGTCTTGCCCACCAAGTACGTCGATATCTCCTGGGAACTGTGGGGATGGGCCTGACCTATGGTGGCTCACAGCAAGAGGTGGTGTCTTTTTCGGACGCCAGCTTTGCCCCTTGTGGGGGAAAGTCTTTCGGCTGCTCGGCAATCGCCCTCTTTGGTGGCTTTGTGGCATGGAGGATGACAAAACAAGCGCTGATCACCCTGTCTACGGCAGAGGCGGAGTTGTACGAGCTGATCGCCGCGCACCAGTTGGGCCTGGGGATCCAGGCGTGGGCCACCGAAGTGCAGAAGGACTTGTGCCAGTCCATCAAGGTAGATAACACTGCTGCCTTGGGGCTTGCTAGCACTGCGCCGGGGACATGGAAAACACGTCACCTAAGGGTGAGGGCGCGTTACCTTCGTCAAGAAGTCCTTGCACAGCGGGTAACTCTACACCACGAACCTGGGGAAGGACAACCCGCGGATCTTGGTACCAAGCCAGTACCCACCCCAAGACTACAAGTTCTACGAGCACTTTGGGGAATGGTCACCGTGGATGAGTTCCTCAAGGGTCATGAGGATGAAAAAGGGCGTCGCTCTACATCTACGAGATTGGAGGCGATACGGATTATGGCGGTGATGCTCGCGATGACAATGGTGCAAGGTGCCAAGGCTGAGAAGGAGATCAAGGGACCTGTGGAGTTGGATGGGAGCGTGGAGTTTTATGCATGCTTGGTAATCGGCGGCATAGCATTGCTCGGCGTGTGGGAGTTCCTCAAGAAGATGGTGGGGTGGATGTGGGGAACCCAAGAAGGAGCGGTGTTGAAGAAAGCCCAGAAGTTGATGAAGATAAGGGATCAAGCCGCTCGGGCACTACGTCGGGAACTTGACACCTTGGATGAGGAGCCGCACCACCAAGTCCCTGTGCCCGCCGTCGTGGACTGTTCTCATGGACAGGTAAGAGACATTGCGGCTGCATCTTCGTCCTCAGCCCCAACGTCAGCCCAGAGCACGGAAGGAAGCAACATTACTGTGAGACAGGCAGCCCAAGAGAGGATGGATTTCAGGTGCCTCCCGAAGACCTTTGTGATGTCAGAGCATGGAGACAGAGTCCATGTTCGCGCCAACTGCCATGGACTGAGGCATGCAAATCAATCTAAGCTGCGGAAGATACAGTATTGTTCGCTCTGTGCTGAGTGTTACCCCTTGTATTATCGGACACCGTTCGATGACCCGAAGTTGGGGTAGAAGGTGCGCATCGGTGGACATTTTGTCGCCCACTCCAGAAATGAGGAGGAGTGTTGATGCGCCAGAGTCATGAAGGCCTTGTAAAGTGGGAACCTGCATGTAAGACCCAACCCCGCCGCTTTCTTTCTGTACACATCAAGGGGTGGGCTACGCAGGGACCCTTGGGCCATTTCTATCATGTACAACAAAGCAACGGCATGGAGCCATCATGCACAGCAAAGCAACGGCATGGAGCCATCATGCACAGCAAGACAGCTTTGTCTGAGTGGAGAAAAGGAATTCGATTGACACGCCATGGCTGGTTTCGACCCCGACTTTGCACATGCCCTGAACGCTGAGACGAACCCTGTTCCCCAGCACTAAACCCTAAACCCTAAACCCTAAACCCTAAACCCCAAACCCTAAACCCTAAACCCCAAACCCCAAACCCTAAACCCAGGTCGTGGTGGAGTCGATGCGCAGCCTGGAAGAGGCCTATGCTGCGATGCCAGACAGGCGAGTGGGTTTAGGGTTTGGGGTTTAGGGTTTGGGGTTGTGGGGTGTAGGGTTTAGGGTTTAGGGTTTGGGGTTTAGGGTTTAGGGGTTTGGGGTTTAGGGTTTCGTAAGCGCCCGGTGCGGTATTGAAGCAGCGTCCGAAGTCGGAGCAGAGAAACTGTTACAGTGGGGTTTAGGAACCCCCAAACCCCAAACCCCGAAGCCCCCAAGCCCTAAACCCTAAATCCTGAACCCTAAGCTCTAAACCCCAAACCCTCAGCCCTAAACCCTCAACCCTGATGGAGCACGGGGTGGGAAGCAAGCGGTTGTTGCATGTCCTGGCGAGGCCCGAGCTCGCCGACGGCTTGGAGGCCTGGCCAGGATGTCTCTCCGCGCACTTTTTTGGGGCGCTTTTTGGGGGATTGAGGGTTTAGGGTTTAGGGTTACGGTTTAGGGCTTGGTTGTTTAGTGTGTAATTATGGGTGAATGGTTTAGGGTTCAGGGTTTATGGGTTCAGGGTTTCAGGGTTTATGGGTTCAGGGTTTTAGGGGTTTAGGACTTAGGGTTTAGGGTTTATGGGTCTTAGGGTTTTGGGGGGTTCGGGTTCAGGGTTCAGGATTTGCAAGTTTCGGGTTGAGAGCTTCTGGGGTGCTTACAGGGGTTCAATTAGGCTTTCGGTCTCTCTCTCTCTGTCTCTCTGTCTCTCTGTCTCTCTGTCTCTCTGTCTCTCTGTCTCTCTGTCTCTCTGTCTCTCTGTGTCTCTGTCTCTCTGTCTCTCTGTGTCTCTCTCTCTCTCTCTCTGTGCCTCTTGCTTCTGTCATCTTCCCATACTGGAAGCAGAGAGTCGTATATCGTGGGTGTCCGACAGCTTCTTGTGGAGGTTCTGGCATTCAACGCGCTGCCTGCGGCGGTAAGCGACGACAACTGGGCGCACCAGCACGCGCCTGAGCATCTTTCTGAGTGCTTTAAGCTGTAAACCCTAAAAAAACCTTCAAACCCTAAACTCTAAACCCTAAAACCCGAAAACCCTAAAACCCTAAAACCTTAACCCTAAAGCCCTGGAATCGCATGGGGATGGTGGTGGTTTCGGGTTCAGGGTTGATCTTCAGACTGGTGACGCGTTCTGCCAACATTCGCAAACTAGACCTCGAGCTGTATAGGGATCGTTACTGTGATTTAAGGTGTATTGGGAGGTTGGGATACACTAGCCGCCAACTCCTAACCCTTAAACCCCTAACCCCCAGACCTCCAATCCTCAGCCAAGGTATCTTACCCAGTCCAACGCAGCCTACGCTGGCATTGCCATTGGCTCGGCATTCCACCCTAAGCCATTACACCCAAACCTAAACCCTAAGCCCCAAACCCCAATTACGTCAAGCCCTGTCAAATCCTCTTGCTGCCACTCCGTGACATACAACATGAAATCCCTCAAGTTTGGTGCCCAAACCCGAAGCAGCCCTGTCATGGGTTTAGGGGTTTAGGGGTTTAGAGTTTAGGGTTTGGGGTTTAGGGTTTAGGCTTTGGGGTTTGGGGTTTCGGATGTAAGCGTGCTATAAGCGCCCCCTCCGCCCCAGCCTTATTATGCCGCATCGAGTCCCCAAGACTGAGGAGTCCGTGGAAGGCGCCGAGGACGACGAGGGGCCTCGAATGTCGAAGGCTGCACGGCTTCTTAGGGAATAGCACATACAGGGTTTTTTTAAGTGATAGGGATGTATAAGGCACGTAATTTCTTCATCCCTTAGTTACCTCCTACACCCTCAACCCGAATTCCCTGTTTGAGAATTATTGAGAACCAGCTCAACCAACCCAAAACCCTAAACCCTAATAGAGACCATACGCATGAAACGCAATGGCTGCGGAAGTTGGTTTCAAAACGCTGGGTCAGCCAAGAAGGCAGCATAGACATGCTTTGCCACAGTCGCTGCTCTTGCGACCCCAAACCCTAAACCTTAACTACACCCTATACCCTACACCCTACACCCTACACCCTACACCCCAAACCCTAAACCCTAAACCCTAAACCCTAAACCCGTAGCATGGAGTCCCCACCTTGAGCGTTTCATGACCAGACGTTCGGCAACGTCGGCCTCGACGCCACAGTCTACGGCCTATCCCCGTACGGAGCCTGGTACTGGCCCAGAGAGCCCCCAAAACCCTGAATAAAGGAGTACACATACTGCAAACTATATAGGGGTATGACGATTCGGATCGCAGACCTTTGGCGTGCAACATGTCATGTGCTAGATATGGTTTCTGTGTCACTGTTATACAGCCTTTGATTTTTTGCATAGTGTAAACATGAGATAGTAGAGAACCTGGACGTTAAGCGCACAATCCCTAAAATGTTCATTAGCTGAGCCCGAAACCCTGAACCCTAAACCCTAAACCTTGTAACAAGGAGATCTTTGGGTTTGAGCACTTTAGGCTTTAGGGTACCAAAAAGGGTCCATGATTTGGACCAACCATGAAGACCACACATCGCCGAAGCCCTAAACCCTTGATTGCAACCCACCCCCTGCCACAAGCCCTGAGCCCGAAAACTTCCTAAACCTTTACGCGCTGTAGCCCTAAAGCCGTTAAGAACATTAGGGTTTTGGGTTTCAGGGATCCGGGTTTGGGGTCCCTTACACTAAGCCAAAGCCCTTGGAACCCTAAACCCTAAACCCTTAACCCTAAAACTGAAGGAACTTTCCATGCTGCACCGTCAACTTCGCCCAGGGCTGGGGCAAGTTCGTCGAGCCGAGCTCAGTGTACCCCAGAGCCCCCTGAGGGTTTTAGGGCTGAGGGGCTAGGACTTGGGGTTTAGGGTTTAGGGTTTGGGGTTTGGGGTTTAAGGTTTAGGGCTTAGAGTTTAGAGTTTGGGGTTTAGGGTTTAGGGTCTAGGGAATGTTCAAAGTTAAGCTAAGCGCCGTAGCCTGATGGAGGGAGTGTTCCTTCGCTAAGGCATTGAGATCTTCGGGTTGCGATCTGTACTTGAGCTGTTCCTTGCTCGCATGGAGGTGGTCAGGGTTTAGGGTTTAGGGTGTAGGGTGTAGGGTTTAGGGTTTAGGGTTTAGGGTTCAGGGTTTAGGGTTCAGGGTTTAGGGTTTAGGGTTTAGGGTCACACACAATATTCAGTGGCAGTGTCCGGTTAAACTCAAGTTTCCAGACGGATCGCATGGGTGGATGTGTCAAAGTGGCAAACTCGAAAGCCTAAACTCCAAGCCCTGAACCTAAGCCCAAAACCCTGAACCTTAAACCCTACAGAAAACCGCAAGAAATTGGAAACCTCTTTAAGGACAAATAGTTCTGGGATTCCCTATACTTGAGTTTTAGGGATTGAGGCTACTGAGTTTCCAACTTTTCGGCTTCTGCTATAACCCTAAGGCCCTAAGCCCTAAACCTTAAATTGTTGGTGGTCTCTGTAAGTAGAGTTTCTGTTTTGTAGGGGGTTCCTATCAGGGTAGCTAGGGGCTATATGAAGGCAGAAGGGTAGCAGATAAGAGGCCACTGGCTTCTCTAGCCTAGAGGCCTAGAGCTTAAACCCTGAACCCTAAACCCTAAACCCTAAACCCTAAACCCTAAACCCTAAACCCTAAACCCTAAACCCTAAACCCTAAACCTGAACCCTGAACCCTGAACCCCCTCCCCCCCCACTTAGGCCTTGGGTCTGTGGCTCTTCGAGGATGGCAACTCGGCTTAAACTGGTCCACAGCATTTATGGGGGTTTAGGGTTTAGGCCTCAGGGTTTAGGGTTTAGGGTCTAGGGTTTGCGGTTTAAGGTTTAGGGAGAAAAGCTCCGAACCCCTAAGCCCTGACAGACAATAACTCTGCAACTCCAAAAGCCCTGAACCCAAAGTCCTTCAGCCCCCTAAAGTTGAAGAAGCTTTACACTCCTAAACCAGTTCACGCCCCTAGACCCTGAACCCTAAAACCCTAAGCCCAATAAAGCCCTCAAAATTCTAGGAGACCCTGAAGCCCTTCGAACCCTCGGGCCTAAACCCCAAGACCCCAAAACCTCAAAACCCAAGCCCGAAACCCCTTTAGGGTTCAGGGTTTGGGGTTCAGGGTTTAGGGTTTAGGGTTTAGGGTTTAGGGTGGTCGCTCCCAAAACCCCGAAGCCCTAATTCAGGGTTTCGGGGCTCAGCGGCAGGTGGCCGCGACCTCGGCCTGAGCGAAACGCGCGGGAGCCCAGACTAGGCCCGGATGCCCTAAAGCCCTAGACCCTGAACCCTAAAGCCTAAACCCTAAACCCTAAACCCTAAACCCTAAACCCTAAACCCTAAACCCCCCTAAAGCCCCAAAGCCCTAAAGCCCTAAGCCCCTCGAAAGCTTGAAAGCCCTACAGCCCGATCGCCCTAAAGCCCTAAAGCCCTGAACCCCAAAAACTAGACACTCCCCAAGCACGAGTCTGAAAGTTAAGTGTTTGGGTCTAGGGTTTAGGGCTAAGGGTTTAGGGTTTAGGGTTTAGGGTTTAGGGTGTAGGGCTTATGGCTTAGGGCTTTTGAAAGTTGCAACTTCAGAAGTGTCTTTGGCCATTTCAGGGGTTTCGAGTTTTACAGATGCCTAAGGGTTTCGATTTTTTTGGTTTAAGCATTTCCCTCAACAGAAACGCCTTATGTACCCTATTTCAGAACTGCAGCTACATACCTTGGACGCTTGACCGTAGACCCCAGACCCCAAAGCCTAAACCCTAAACTCCCGCAACCCTCAACCCTAAACCCTAAACCCTAAACCCTAAACCCTAAACCCTAAACCCTAAACCCTGCCTGTCAGGCCAATCCTCCTCTCGGCGGCCTTCGCGCCCTCCGTGATTGCCGTGCCGGCGCCGGTTGGCGGCCAGGCCTTGAGTTTTGGGGGTGTAGGGTTTGGGGTTTAGGGTTTAGGGTTTAGGGACCCAATACCCCTTCAAATGAGAAATACACTTAGTAGACCACAATGAGGATCCCTATGCAATTTAGGGTACACTCCTCTAGGTTGGCTTTTGGGATATTGTGTTTTCTTTTCTGGGGGGTTTATAAGGAGCACCCTAAACCCGAAACTCTAAACTCTAAACCCCAGGCTCTGTTTGGAATCAGTCTGCTTTAATGTTCAACGGCCGACCTAGAGAAGTGGTTTGGGATTGGGGGCCTTGGGCTCAGGACTTAGGGATGTTAAAAGTGTATCGGTTTAGGGTTTAGGGTTTAGGGTTTAGGGTTTAGGGTTTAGGGTTTAGGGTTTAGGGGGGCTCTTCCTGTATAGGAGTTGTTTTGGGTGAGCGTGTAGGCTTAGCTTTTGTCTCTTCCGGGGTTCAAGCCTGAACCCCAAGCCAGAACCCTAAGACTGCAGGGCTTGCGGTGTGAACAGTCGAAGGCCTGACCTTCTTCTTTTAGAGTTTAACCCTAAACCCTAAACCCTAACCCTAAACCCTAAACCCTAAAAAAACCCTAAACCCTAAACCCTAAACTATAGGCTGCAGCCCAGAGTTATGCAAGTTGTCCCAGACATGGCGCCTCTCCTTTGCCTGGTGAGGTGGAGCTGTCCACTGCGTATCCCTTCAATCCCGAGGCAGGCAGGGGTATCTCAGGGTAGCTACATGGTCCCTTAATATGGTGGGCCTGTTTAGGGGGCTTTTTACGGTTTGGGGTTTCGGGTTTAGGGTTTAGGGGGGTCGTTACATGGTCCCTGGTCGTTTACCTTCCTTAAAGGGGTCTGAAGTAGCCCTTGGGTTGTATAGGGTGTACAAGAGGTATACAAGGGTTCTCCAGTCAAGGGCCCATATTAAGGGCCCATGAAACTACCCTCCTAAACCCTAAACCCTAAAGCCTAAATCCTAAACCCTAAACCCTAAGAGCGCTACACGCATCGCTTGGTTTGTCACTGAGGCTCGTCTGCTTGCATCTCTGCAGTTTGACCCTGAACCTTGTTGTTACATCCTGGAATCGAAGCCCGAAACCCTGAAAGCCACCTAAACCCTAAACCCTAAACCCTAAACCCCAAACCCTAAACCCCAAACCCTAAACCCCAAACCCCAACACACCAAGCCAGGGCCCTCTGCGCTACACGGCCAGAGGCATTCGCCCACCGCAGGGAGCCCAGAGCCGAGAGCGTGGGTCCAATAGTACCCCCCTTAGGGGTATAGGGTTAGGGTTTAGGGGTTAAGGGTTTAGGGTTTGGGGTTTGGGTTTAGGGCGTTGAGGGTTTAGGGTTTAGGGTTCGCTTAGGGAGCACACTGCTACCAAAATTCTACACATGCGCGGTTCTGACGTCTCCCAAAAACCCTAACCCCTAAACCCACCAAAACCCCCAATACCCTAAACCCTAAACCCTAGCCTAGACCCTAAAACCCTTCCCAGGCTTGAGCTCCTCGTGCGCGTGCCGCAGTGGGCGGACTTGGAGCGTTCCGAGGCGCATTCCCCCCCTTCCCCCTACAGTGCCCAAAGGCTAGCCTTGAGGGTTTCCGGTTTAGGGTTAAGGGTTTTGGGTTTGGGGTTTAGGGTCTAGGGTGAAGGGGTTGGGGGTTTGGTTGCAGGGTTTCCTCCTGAACCCCTCAACCCTACTCGCGAAACCTTTCCTAAACCCTGAACCCTTAAACCCGCCAGACCCCTCTATAAAGCCCGCATCCCGAACCCCGCACCCCAAACCAAGTGACCAAAGACGTGAGGCCACTGGTGCTCGAGGACGTGTTTCTCTGAAGGATCGTGCGGGGGTGCAGCGCCCGGGACCCTACCCTGGGCTGTTTGGGGTTGAGGTTTGAGGCTTAGGGTTTAAATTGAGGGTTTAGGGAACATTCTGTGTGAACCAGTATAGCCCCTATGTACGAAGGACCTTTAGGTATAATGTGAGTAACCCTCTTTGTTGCAGTATTAGAGAGACAACTGTGCCTTGGTGACTTTTCATTTCAAAGATTTCAAAGGTTTCCGAACCTTTGAAATCTTTGAAATCTAAAACCCGGGAGGGCGGGTTTTAGATTTCAAAGGTTTCAAAGGTTTGAAAACCTTTGAAATCTTTGAAATCTAAATTCGGGAGGGGGGATTTTAGATTTCAAAGGATTCAAAGGTTTCAAAACCTTTGAAACCTTTGAGATCTAAATTCGGGAGGGGGGACTTTAGATTTCAAAGGTTTCAAAGGTTTCAAAGATTTCAAAGGTTTTAATGGGTTTGGGAACCTCCCGGGGGAAACTCCCGGGAGTTTCCCCAACCCATTAACACCTTTGAAATCTTTGAAATCTTTGAAATCTTTGAAGTCTTTGAAATCTAAATTCGGGAGGGGGGGCTTTTAGATTTCAAAGGTTTCAAAGGTTTCAAAACCTTTGAAACCTTTGAAATCTACATTCGGGAGGGGGGATTTTAGATTTCAAAGGTTTCAATCAAAGATTTCAAAGGTTTTAATGGGTTTGGGAAGCTCCCGGGGGAAACTCCCGGGAGTTTCCCCAAACCCATTAAAACCTTTGAAATCTTTGAAGTCTTTGAAATCTAAATTCGGGAGGGGGGCTTTTAGATTTCAAAGGTTTCAAAGGTTTCAAAGGTTTCAAAACAATTGAAACCTTTGAAATCAAAATTCGGGAGGGGGGATTTTAGATTTCAAAGGTTTCAAAGGTTTTAATGGGTTTGGGAAACTCCCGGGGGAAACTCCCGGGAGTTTCCCCAACCCATTAAAACCTTTGAAATCTTTGAAATTTTTGAAATCTAAATTCGGGAGGGGGGATTTTAGATTTCAATTGTTTCAAAGGTTTTGAAACCTTTGAAACCTTTGAAATCTAAATTCGGGAGGGGGGATTTTAGATTTCAAAGGTTTCAAAGATTTCAAAGGTTTTAATGGGTTTGGGAAACTCCCTGGGGAAACTCCCGGGAGTTTCCCCAACCCATTAAAACCTTTGAAATCTTTGAAACCTTTGAAATCTAAATTCGGGAGGGGGATTTTGGATTTCAAAGGTTTCAAAGATTTCAAAGATTTCAAAGGTTTTAATGGGTTTGGGAAACTCTGGTGATTGTTGAGTATTTTTGAGCCTTCAATAATTTTTCCAATGGCGAAAGCACATGGATTTGTTCATTTTGGCGCCCTTGGAAAACCTCAAAATCATGTTTTGGCGACATTTTCGAGCCTGCCAGAATTTCCTCTAAGGCCGAAACGTAGGGATTTTAAGGAGTTTTGCATCCTTGGAAACCCTGAAAAATCATTTTTTTGGTGATTTTTAACCATTTTGAGCTTTCCAGAATTTTCCCAAAGGCCAAATCGTAGGGATTTTCGTCAGTTTAGTACCCGTGGGCATGCTCAAATTCATGATTTTTAGTGATGTTTCAATGTTTTGCGCCTTCCAGAATTCCCCTGAATCCCAAAACATAGGGATTTTTAGGAGTTTGGCGTCCTTGGAAACCCTCAAAAATCATATTTCTGGTGATTTTTTGACCATTTTGAGCCTTCCAGAATTTTCCCAAGGCCACAACGTAGGGATTTTCGCTAGTTTGTGCCCTTGGACTTCCTCAAGTTGATCATTTTTTGTGATTGTTGATCATTTTGAGTTTTCGATGATTTTTCCAAAGGCGAAAACACATGGTCGATAATTTTTCCAAAGGCGAAAACACATGGGTTTTGGTCAGTTTGGCGCCCTTGGCGACTTTTCAACATTTTTTGAGCCTGCCAGAATTTCCTCTAAGGCCAAAATGTAGGGATTTTAAGGAGTTTGGCGTCCTTGGAAACTCTCAAAAAAAATCATTGATGTTTTTTTTGGACCATTTTAAGCCTTCCAGAATTTTCCCACAGGCCACAACGTAGGGATTTTACCCTAAGCCCTCCATCACCAAACCCTCCGGTTGAGCGTTTATGGAGTAGGGCTTAAGGTCAGGGATCAGAGGTGGGGTATACAAGGGGCAGTCCATATGTGAGCCGTTGAGCGATTTTGTGCTGGAGGAGGACCACGATGCCGAGCTCCTGGACTGATGGCTTTGTAGACTTCAAACCCTAAACCTTACTCCGAGACCCTTAAGGCCTAGAACCCATACGCCAGACATGAAAGTGGAAGCGCCACTTTTCTCCGACGACAGCCCATGCACTGGGCGCAAAAGACTCATGATGAGAAGCAAGTTCGGATCTCGACCTCCGTGCAAGAGGTTGCGGACACCACACTATCCGGCAGTTTTCCACCGGGGCCCAAGTTTTTGGTTTTGACCTTGTCGCCATGGCGCCCGGAAGGAAGCAGCGCCGAGCAGAGCGCTTGCAGTCGTGGAACGAGGTTACGCAAGCTTAAAGATTGTCGTAGCATTATGACAAACGGTCAAACCTTTAGCGAATCATCCCAAAACCGCATAGTCTAAATACCATAAGACGAAAAACCATGGACCCGCCAACCCAGAGATCCAACGCTATGATCATTCTCCGGTCAGGGCCGCTGGTATGTGCAGCAGTCGTGGAAGCGCTCGAGGCGTGAGGACTGGCGCAGCAATGACTCCATGGACTACAGCTCCTCGAACGGCAGTCGCCCCTTGGACTACAGCTCCTCGAACGGCAGTCGCTCCTTGGACCACAGCTCCTCGAACGGGCAGAAGCTCCCTATGCAGCCGCCACACCCACCGCCCGGCTGGCAGGCCTGGAAACCTTAACCGCTAAACTCTATCTGACGCCTGGGCTTGGGGTTCAGGGTTTAGTGTTTAGGGTTTAGGGTCTAGGGTTTGGGGTTTAGGGTTTAGGGTTGAGAGTTTAGGAGGCAGATACACCGGTCCAAGGCAAGAAAGCAAATATATTGTCTGAAGGTTCTAAGGGAATAAGAGAGAGTACCTCTATTTTCGGAACCCTATAAACCCTAATAAACCCTACCTAAACCGTAAACCGTAAACCCTAAACCCTAAACCCTTTGTGGAGTACAGGGCTTGCCTCGCAAAAGCCTACGAAAACACTAGTTTTATGGGTATTCAGGGTCTAGGGTTTGGGGTTTAGGGTTAGGGTTTAGGATTTCGGGTTTAGGGTTTAGGGTTTAAGGTCATTACCCAGAAGCAGCCAAATACAAGGAGAGAGAGGATGCAATCGCAGCTGCGTGGAGGAACAAGGAGCATGAATCCCTAAACTCAAGCCCTTAGGCCCTGGACCCTCCATCGCCCATAAGCCACCGCCTCGAAGTTTCCAGGAAAGAGAGAGGCAACTCGAAGCGATTCGACGTCTCGTGGACAAGTGGAGGCCGAAGCGGAAGGAGCCACCTATATTTCCCTGAGCCGGGTTCCTTCACCCCTAAACCCTAAGCCCTCCATCACCAAACCCTCCGGTTGAGCGTTTATGGAGTAGGGCTTAAGGTCAGGGATCAGAGGTGGGGTATACAGGGGGCGGTCCATATGCGAGCCCTTGAGCGATTTTGTGCTGGAGGAGGACGACGATGCCGAGCTCCTGGACTGATGGCTTTGTAGACTTCAAACCCTAAACCTTACTCCGAAAGCCTTAAGGCCTAGAACCCATACGCCAGACATGAAAGTGGAAGCGCCACTTTTCTCCGACGACAGCCCATGCACTGGGCGCAAAAGACTCATGATGAGAAGCAAGTTCGGATCTCGACCTCCGTGCAAGAGGTTGCGGACACCACACTATCCGGCAGTTTTCCACCGGGGCCCAAGTTTTTGGTTTTGACCTTGTCGCCATGGCGCCCGGAAGGAAGCAGCGCCGAGCAGAGCGCTTGCAGTTGTGGAACGTGGAACGAGGTTACGCAAGCTTAAAGATTGTCGTAGCATTATGACAAACGGTCAAGCCTTTAGCGAATCATCCCAAAACCGCATAGTCTAAATACAATAAGACGAAAACCATGGACCCGCCAACCCAGAGATCCCTATGATCATTCTCCGGTCAGGGCCGCTGGTATGTGCAGCAGTCATGGAGGCGCTCGAGGCGTGAGGACTGGCGCAGCAATGACTCCAGACTACAGCTCCTCGAACGGCAGTCGCCCCTTGGACTACAGCTCCTCGAACGGCAGTCGCCCCTTGGACGACAGCTCCTCGAACGGCAGTCGCCCCTTGGACTACAGCTCCTCGAACGGCAGTCGCTCCTTGGACCACAGCTCCTCGAACGGCAGTCGCTCCTTGGACCACAGCTCCTCGAACGGCAGTCGCTCCTTGGACCACTCGAACGGCAGTCGCCCCTTGGACTACAGCTCCTCGAACGGCAGTCGGCCCTTGGACTACAGCTCCTCGAACGGCAGTCGCGTCTCGGCCCACAGCTCCTCGAACGGCAGTCGCCCCTTGGACTACAACTCCTCGAACGGCATGTCCCCGCCAGCACTTTGGAAAGCCAGTTGGCCCGCGACGCCTGTCGTCCTTTTCTCAAGTTTTGGGATCTTCGGGATGAAAAAGTAGTAAGAGTAAAGAGTTTTCTTGAGATGTATTAGGTTCAAAGTTATTTGTTTTACAAAGAAAGAGTTTTTTCAATGTACAAGGTTAGAGTTATTTTGGCATGTTCTTTCAGGAGTTCGAGACGCGCAAGACGCTGCTGCTTTCGAAAGGCCCCGGCAACAAGTGGCACCGCGTCCAAAGCAGCATCTTGAAAGCATCAACATTGATCTTGTCTCCCCGTCTTCTGGTATATGTCCCCAAAATCAGGAATCATCTAATCAGATTTGAGGGCCATTTGCGCTACATGCGAGAAGATAGGTCTCTCCCCCTTCCTCCCACGTTGGTTTTTGCAGCTCTGCAAGGATTCAGGGTTCAGGGTTTCGGGGCCCTAAACGAAAAACAACCAAACCATTCCAAACCTACCCCTAGTGTTTGCCATAGCCCCTGTAGAACCTGAATGAAGAACTTCATTATAGAAAACATAACAAGACATGACACATACAAAAAAATCTCCAAGGAAACTATCCCTAAAACCTAAATCCGACACCTTATGAGTCTCGGCAGAAACACGGAGCCCAGGACATGATGAAACCGTGTTCTATTGGTACAATAGTGAATCGGGTGCGTCCGTGAGATTCTAGAAATTTTGGAAGGCTTGGAGCCTATTGGCCATCCTGGCCCAGCTCACACCGTACACGCTTTGCGACAAACATCTTACATTTGGGTTTAGAAGGGTTTAGGGTTTAGGGTTTCATATTTGGGTTTAGAAAGGTTTAGGTTTTAGGGTTTAAGGGTTTTATATTTGGGTTTAGAAGGGTTTAGGGTTTAAGGTTTAAAGGTTTTTTAGTTGGGTTTAGAAGGGTTTGGGGTTTAAGGTTTAGTTTTTTTATAGTTGGGTTTGGTAGGGCTTTGGGTTTAGGGTTTAAGGGTGTTGAAGGGTTTAGGGTTTAGGGTATAAGGGTTTTATATTTGGGTTTAGCGGGTTTTGGGTTTTGGGTTTAAGGGGTTTTTTGGAGTTTACAAGGGTTCAGGGTTTAAGGTTTCAGGGTTTTATATTTGGGTTTAGAAGGGTTTACGGTTTAGGTCCACACGGAAAAGAGCTGGTCCCGGCGCGGCCGCAAGGGCCAAGTTTGTCGAACTTTTGGGGGCTCCTGAGTCCTGAACCTTAAGCCATATCTTCATTGGCTTGACTTTCCAGGCTTCAAGGTCGGGTCCAGACGGAAAAGAGCTGGTCCCGGCGCGGCCGTAAGGGCCATGTTTGTCAGAGTTTTGGGGGCTCCGGAGTCCTGAACCTTAAGCCTTCATGCTTGAAGGTTATGGGTGCCCATAACTAGCATTCTATGCCCCCTAAGCAAGGATATTTTCCATAGTTACACTACTTATATCTCTACTTCTAAGTATCCATGAACCTGCCAGTGGGCCTTTGTGGTACAGACTGCGACTTTCCAAGCCAGACGCCCGCAGAGGCCGTCAGTCACCTCCAGGTCTCGAGGCTCCAAAGGAAGCTCAACCCTAGACCAAAAACCCTAAACCTTAGACCCCAAACCCTAAACCCTCAGCCCTCAGCCTTAAACCCTAAGCCTCTAAACGCTTTCGAGGGTTCAATTTTCGTCTGGTCCCGGCGCGGCCGTAAGGGCCAAGTTTGTTGAGTCCTGAACCCCAAGCCCCATCTCCACGTCCGAACTCAGCGATCATTGGCTTCACTTTTTAGGGTCCCAAGAACCACAGTTTAGGGAAGCCACCCTAAGCCGATGAAAGTCACCTCGTAGAGGCCCTTACCCTGAACCCTGAACCCTAAACCTAAACCCTAAACCTAAACCCTAAACCCTAAACTTTTATCCTCCGGCCTGTTTCGCGGCTTAGGGGTCGGAATAATTACTTGTAGTATTCCCTTATGGTCCTTGTATCCCTCTACTATAATGACACCCAAAACCCTATTTTAATTATTGAGGCCCCTACAGTACCCTACTCCCGGCAACCTTGCGCTGAAGCTAGAGTGGGGAGGGTCAAGTTCGACCGGGCCAGACGAAAAAGAGCTGGTCCCGGCGCGGCCGTAAGGCCAAGTCTTTCCAAACGTCAAAAGCTGACGACAGTGAGGAAAAGCCTTGAGAACCCTATAAATCTAAATAACTGTACTGTGGTATGTTGTTTTTATAGGGCAACACGACAGGAACTCACATTATACCTAAAGGTCCATGGCACATAGCCCCTATATTCTGACCCTTTCTAGCGCAACAAACCCTGTAGAGATTATATCCTTACTGCCTTACAGGGGCTTCCCAAATCCACCCCAGATTTGGGGACTTGCATGGCCTGTAAGCGTTCGTGCGGGTGCGCTAGAGGCTTTTAGGGCTTTGCTAAACCCTAAACCCTAAACCCAAAACCCGAAGCCCTAAAAGTCAAGGGATCCGCGCAGGTCGGGTCTGCTTCAGGTTTGATGGTCTGGGATGGCTTTTCCTCTGGTTTAGGGCTTGGGGTTTCGGGTTCACTGTGTGGGATTTAGGGTTTAGGGCTTAGCCCTTAACCCTGAGCCCTAAGCCCTAAGCCCTAAGCCCTACGCCCTACGCCCTACGCCCTACGCCCTAAACCCTAAACCCTACACCCCTAAACCCTAAACCCTAAACCCTAAACCCT